GTTTTGGTCGTTGTTCCAAGTTTTTGTTATTAATAGAACTTAAAAGATGATGAATTATTTTAATAAGTAACTAAAGCGACGAGTGGTGGTAATAAGCACCACCACCATTCTTACAATAAACAATACTTACCCAGACACCTTGCTCCAATTAGTTGTTGTTTTTCGTTTGTTGCTACCTGACGACATTTTATTATTAAAAGAATAATTTGTTATTATTTATTTCTTTTTTTTTTTTTTTTTTGGAAAAACAACTTTGACAGATGACAAAACGCGAGTGTTGTTGTTTGGCATGATTGGTTCTAAAAAGAGACTTTTTTTTAAATTGTATTGATATAATGTGGTGACTTTTATTTTAATTATTGAAATCAAAACGTGGAGCAGAACTCGCTGGGTAATTATAAGATTCTCATCAAGATGGCAAACAATTGATATTTGGCTTTTCGTAACCATAATCAATATTAACTATATAATTAATTACAAGATGTCAAGTCAGCATTGACTGTTGAAAAAGAAACAATTCAAATATGAAACATTTCGATACGGAACGTTTGATTATCGGAAATTAGCAGACGTTGAAGGCATGCACGCTATCTTGAACTTTTTACAGTCATTCTCTCCTCTTCCTCGTGTACAAAGGCTAACCTGACTAGCTTGCCCTGAGATACAATGATGCAACAAAATTTTCAGGGGGGTACGTGGCCCTGGAGTTTACCGAGACTGCATCATTGTCAATGACACTTTTGATAATCTTTTCTCACAGCACCCAGACCAGAGAAGGCTGCAATGTTAGCCAAAAGTTTCCTGCAACAATCTTACCTCTAGGGTAAGGATGAATCTGTAACCAAGTAATTGCAACTCTGGAGGAGAATCTGCAACTCATTTCAAGCACAGGAGGTTGCAATTCAGAGTAGGTTGGTGACCCTGAAATTGCATTTGGGCTCTGATGTTAGGAGGAAAGCTGTAAAATAAAATAGTACAGATTTTTTTTGGTATGTTTTGTATAAATTAATCATTCATAAATTCTCTGTTTCTTTAATTTTTATTTGACCAATTGAATTTGGTACTTTTTAAATGGGAGTAGAGTTGTTTGTGAGTAGGCATGCCACCAACACAAGACAGCAACCCAGGACTCACAACTCGGAATTCAGGGAAAAATCCAAAACAATAACCCAGGTTACAACCTCCCAAGTTGCAGAATTTTGGTCCAGTTGCAGACACCAACTTTATTCTAGTGGAACAGCAATCATCACACAAATTCTGATCCTCATCAGTTATCAATGCCTGTATGGTAACAGCCAAGCCTGGTCTGAGGGGAAGATAAGAGAGGTTTTGTCCAAAGCCTTCCAACAGAGGACACCCTTACCTGTGAAAAAATCCACAGTTATGAGGTGTGCTTAATTGCACCCAAACTTATGTTTGTGATAGGAAAGTTTTATTAAATCCGACACCTGTTATTATAATTGGATTTATTATTCATAAGGAACTATATAATTAGAATCAAGAAAAAAAATTTTTTTTTTGATCCTCCCCATTTATTCAACAGGAGAGAACGTCCTATATAAGGAATGGATTTTCACAATTGATTTCAATTTTTTTTATACACTTTAGAATACTTTTACAAGGGTATTACATAGCCCATTCTTACAATAAATCATGTGCAAAT